ATAAACCTTGCTGATTGAACCTGCATGGTCTCCAGGAGTTCTTTGGGCTAGGCCTGACAATGGCAAAACAAATGCATGAAAATTAAATGGGTTGAGAAAAAGTGGGAGACTGGGCAAATTATTGCTAAACAGAGTTGATGAGATCCTCGATCAAAACAACACAATAAAAATAGGGAGAAAGAATAAAACAGAACATATGAAACATATGTGGACATGACAGAAGCAAAGATGGCTCAATTAAATATAAAGATATGGATAAGCATAGAGAATCGTGTTGTGTGATTTATATTTCTTTCCTTTTTTATTTTTTCTACTCCAAAGGAACGTTGGAAATAAATTATGTAAAGGGACCTAAGACTGTCTGTCTGGTAGCAAGGTAACTCTCTGAAATCAAAGTGGAATGGACCAAATGTGATATGGGAGAAGCTGGCTTGAGAAAGAAAGAATTTGAAAATGTATCATATCTCATCAGCTATGGAGCAAAATCAATCAATCAATCAATCCCTCAATGCATTCATTTGGGAGAGGCAAATTAAAAAAAAAAACCCTAGAGTAGTCAATATTATTGAGAATGCAGAGAATTCTTGCACAGATTACAGACCTACTGTATCCTTACACAGAAAAATTAGAGTTGTCCAGTGCAACATGATAACATTGTGGAAAAAAAGTGAAACACACAGAACAGTGGTATTTCCCCCCTAAAAAGCTTAATAGAAAGAAATGAAAAATATTCAACCAATAGAAAATATGTGGGGCAAGAAAATGGGAAGAGCAAAGCCTTACACTGACGTAGACCACTAGCATATTTAACCCAGCATAAGGTCTCTCAATGGCAGCAGTTCCCTGATTTCCAATAAATGTTTTTCCAGCCTTAATCCGGAGATGCAGGGATTAACCTTGCATAAATAAAGCATATGGTCTACTACTAAATGATCTCCTGTCCCTTAAGAAAATCCTGAACAAAAAATTGGGAAACTTGAGGATCTGTCAGAATTCTAACTGATCATCTAGACCAGTGTTTCTTAAACTTTTTTCTCTCAGAATCCCTTCCAACTTTTAAAAATTATGGAGGACCCCAAAAGACCTTTGTTTGTATGGATTATATTTACTGACATTTACTGTATTAAAAACTAAAATTGATGCATTTGCTGCCACTACCACTTCTCACGACTATCTGATGGGATTTTAATATTGTATTATTTTACAACATTGGTTGGCAAATAATTTTGATTTCTGGGACCCCTGAGAGGATCTTGGGGGACTCCCAGGGATCCTAGGACCACACTTGAAGAAACACTGATCTAGGCACTTGATACTATTTTGAGACTGCTAATTCCACATTCTTACTATAGCAGCTTTCCCCAGCCTAGATACACTGGCCTTTCTTCCTTACAACATGCATCCACGAAGGCCAATCCAATGCACCGTCCCTGCATTATCTGCATCTACATTTCCACCTGAACTCTCTCTCCCCCCCCCCCCCCCCCCC